AAAGCGTTTTGTTACACCGCTCGTACCGACCTTGTCTTATAGAAATACAGATTATATAATATATATGTATACTTTTTAATATATATCTCTCTAATATGTATATCATACATTATTTTCTAACAGCATCGTCCCGTTTATTTAATTAGAGCTTCCATCACACTGGCCTGTTATTCGCAAAATTTATATTAACCGAAGATATCACACTCAATTATAACAGCTCTCACATTTGCAATGATAATCCGGCTAATCTTGGCTAAACGAGCGTCGTCTTCTTATGTTAATATTATCAGAGCAAATCACCAGTTATGCTTTATCTTATTACAGAATTAATATCTGTGAAATTAATATGAACTTTGAACGCAACACAGATCAGTGCAAGGACCATCTATTATTATGTACGGGACATAATATGCAACGCTGCAAGATTGACGACACAATCAATGAAATTCAAATTTATCGCAGATAAAAATAAACAAAAATACATAATTCTAATAACAGTTAAATCAAGCACGTACATAGCTATGCTGATGTGCCACTTGTACAATTTAAAATTCGTATAGTTTTTTCGATAATGATTTTTCTTGCCGATTATATCGTCGACTTTGCAGCGTCCTTATACGTAACACTTGCGTACTGCAAGTGCAATGTAATCCTCCAAAAGAGAGATAACATTATATGTCATGCGACTAGCATATTGTCCTATTGCCGTACAATTGCAACAATCGTAGGAGATTCGTTATCTACATAATGCGACATAAGCAATTAAAGATGGCAAACATTCTTTATACAAGTGGGTACGCGAAAAAGGGTATCGTATATCTATTTAAAGAGCTGTACATGTAACTGCACATTGTACGGGCCTTGTGACTAGTTTGTAAAATTTGAAGTATATACAACGTGCCCGAAGCACGAACTCGCGACGCAGAATTGTGAGCTATGAAAAATACTGCGAACATTGCAAATATTGCGAACGTAAAATCGTTTACTTCGTCAAGTGTTCCATCAATTCCACAGATTGATCGAAGAAGCAATCATTTCACGCGTACTGAGTAAAAATCAAATTTTGCAACAACACAAAAGCAGCTGTACCTAATAAAATCTTGATCCAGGGAAAAACTCTGTTTCCTCAATTTGATTTTATGCGATTTGGCGTTATGCTGAAAGAAATTTCTTTGTCTTGCGTGGCATTGCTTGAGCACTGAGAAATATGGTAAAATGATAGAGAAATTTTTTTTCCATTTTATAAACACGATCGCCACGAGCGAACGTTATATTTCTCGGTACGTCAAACAATATTATATCTAAATTCTTTCATTATTGTAACAGTAAATTAGTTAATTCAATAATCATTTTATATATTATTGTTATATATGTGCATGTGTATATGTAATACAGATAACTGCGGTGAAAACCTCTGCAAATATCGATCACGTTTATATCTATTTATATATTTACTAATAGCCTGGCATCTATTATTTCGACGTATAGTATGATAGAAACTATTTTGCGTTTAGTCGAATCATATAAAGATGAGAAATCGTGACAAATTCATTGGTAAATACAAATTGCAGTACGCGAAGATATTCTTTCTTCACTTCAAAATTTGTAGATAATAGGAGGAAATCGCGCATTGCAACGATTCGGATTAACGTGATTAGAATTACGCTGATTTAATTTCGGAATTACTGCTTCGAATATAATCTCGATTCTATTACCGCTTTTATCGATTACGCACATTGTGCGCTATTGCCTAAGACTCTATGGATTAAACGATGGAGCGTGATTGCGAATATGAAGTGAAATATTCACATAAACGTCTCTATTCTGATTTCAACTTCGTAGAAAAAGCAGAGGTGGAAGTTTATTGGTTTGGACGTTAAACTCTCTAATTGAGAGAGAAATCTCTCTATAAAGTATTTTATAGTTTACATTTAGTTTATATTTTATAGTTATTTCATGAATATATAATTTATAATTGCATACATAATATGTTTTTAAACATATACATATAAACTATTTAAACTAGTAAAGAATCATTGTCACTCTAAAAATTTCGTAAAAAATTAAAGAATTTATTGATTTTTATTAAAACTCGTTCTAAAATACTTTAAAGACAGATATGTAGAATTATCAAATAAATGAGAAATATAGCATCTTGTTATATATCTATTCTCTTGTAGGTTAAAATATTTATCTTTGGATAATTTAGATAAATAATTAGATATATCTGTGGAAAAAAAAAATCGATTACTGAATAAACATTTAACATAAAAAATAACAAGAAATAATAAAATAGAATTTCGTTATCTTAGTTTGATTTAACTAAACACATTTAATATTAATATTTTCTTTACTTCTTCTATAATATGTAGCGATATAAATAGAATTTTATATAGAAAACAATATTGAAACAGTTGAAATATTTTTCATAAAATTAAAGTGTAGCAAAACATATATCAGGCATTGGACATTGCTCGTTTTTAAATTTTAGAAACTATCAGTCGATAAACGATTTCCGCAAAAATGCTGTTCACAGTGGTTTTACTGTAAACGAATTCAATTTATAAATTTTTATCCAATTCCACTCGTTTGCTTTGCAAAATAAAAATAAAAAACCGCGCTGACAGATCCATCAATTTATTGACAACATAGGTGATGTTAAATAAACTAAACCGCTCAGCATGCCATGACTCGGAAAGAAAGAGAGATAAAAATTCATAAATATTGTACGCGGACTGGTATTTGTAATTAGCCTAAAACGCTCATAAATCATGGAAAGGAAAGTTCTTGTCGTTTGCCTCGAGAATTCTACGTTCTCCAAGAACTTGCTCCCTCGGATGGAACCTGCGCGCTAATTACTGAAACTTCAAATATGACCGGACATTGAACTATAGTAGAATTTGTCGTTGAATATATTCAACTATTCGAGAATATTGCGTTTAATATTGAAGCACATAAACCGCCAGTTTCCATTCCCTTCATCAATATTAACGAAGATTAGCAATAAAGCTATGTTCAAGTTTAAAGTTATTTCAGAAATTTAAGGCGTGAACATCCTTGTTTGCTCTAAAAAAAAAAATTAAAAGACAAGTCGATTAAAAAATATATTCCTGTTTTATACGAGAATATAATAATATACAATATAAAAATTAAATATCTAATTGATTATCTAAGAAAATACGCATTTAGAATATTATCAAAATTTTTTAATTAATCTGCAAGACCATTCCGATTAATTTTAAAAAAGAGTAATTATATATATACACACATATATGTATATAAGTATAATACCTATATATAAGTATTAATTAGGCATAATGGCTGTCAAAATAACTATCAAAAGAAATATTGCATATACGATTGTTTTTCATGATGTTGTTCCTACATAAAAGTTGCTAAATAAACTCTGGCTAATTTCAAATAAATTTGGAATTTCAATAAAATTTTCGAGTTTAATGATTTTAAATATATTCAAAAATAATTTTAAAGCTTTCGTAGAAGTTTATATTCTCGTTTCCTTCATTGCCGATTACACGGCACAAAAATTTTTCTGATAGTGGATTATCCTAAACGTAATGCAAAGCGGACACTATTAACCGCCTGTCTTCCTGCAAACTTCTTGTAAACTTCGTGGTCTACCTTAGATGAAATTACGTGGGAAACTATATACGAACTGCAAACTATTGAGGAATTAATTGTATATCCCTCTGTTCATTATCCAAAACTTTCCTAATCGCGAAACGGATAATAGGCAAAGACTTCGCACGTTGTGTGAGTTCTTTAAAGTAATAATTATACAATTCTTTATAAAATATATATAAAATGTCATTTCACTATGAAAGTGTGTCAAATTTGAATTATTTAATCGAATTAATTGTTTTTTTCCTGCATACATAATTATCTGTAATAATCTACATATATAATATAACGCAAATTAGTTGTTTATCGTTGTAAACTCTATTATCAAAGTATGACTTATTAGACTAGAAGATTGTATTTAAGAGAAACTAAGGCAAACTATTTAATCGATTAGTAGATCACTTCATGCGTGGAATCATGTCTTTGGGTTATAATCAATAATATCTGGAATATATAGTGCTGATGTCACTAGAAGATTAAGTTACATAATTCAGAGAATATTTAAAGGAGTTTCATCGAATAAAAATAAAGTTTACAAAAATAAAACATTAAAGAAATTGTTTGTAAATAATTTCTTTCTTTAAAATTAAATCAATGAATAATAAAAAATAAATTAATTAAATAATATGTTTATATTATCATGTTTATACTCATTATTAATTAAATCTTTAAATATATATTTTACTTTAAATATATACATATAATATCACATACTTATCATCTTGAAAAAAAATCTATAATAGCACTGATATTATAGAAATTTGCATACTTCCGAGAAGTAATCATTACGTAATCAATATAGTAAAGCGTACTGGGGAAAAAGCCTAACATGCATAATTACTGTGACTACAAAAACTACCTACCATAATTATTACCAACTGTGATAAGAACTACCTACTCTATAAGGCCTAAGTTCGTCAGCAACTTCGCTATCTCAGTAATTAATTCAATGGTGTCGTTGGAAGAAGGCATAAATTTTTGCTCCGGGAAAGATCTACCATTACGTCTAGAAGCAGTTCGATGTGCTTCTGGCAATTCTGTGAATACACGATTTAACCGAGCGGGCTACATGAAATCGAGATCGATCGAAGAGTTTAAGACTTTCGCGATCGTAGAGCCGATAATGGGTTTAAACGACGTCTAGGCGTGCTCTCGGTGGATGAGGAAGCGCTCTTAGACTTGGAAGTTTTTGACGCCTTAGGCGTCTTCTCTTTGCTCGTGGCCGCAGAGGTTTTCACCGGTTTCCCGGATTTATTCACACCGCCTCCAGAGCTCGCGCCCGTGGAGGCCGTGGAAGATGTGGGCTTACTAGACGCGATAGTGTTTTGGGAAAGGGTTTGGGTGTTGGGTCTTACTTGTACCTCGCAGGGGGGCGGCGCGCTCCTGTACGACGGCACGATCTTGAAAGTCACCGATCCACGTGCCTCCCGCTGTAACAGTCGAAGAGGACCGAACTCTTCAGAAACTGCGGCTACGAGTAAGCAAGCCGATGCTTATTCGCATAAATACAAAATTTTGCGTATATATATATAATAATGCAGTGTACAAATTTATAATCCAATATTGAAATCATATTCTACTTCAAAGTACAGTTTTTTCAATTTTGTAATAAATACTTGTTTGAGAAAGTTATGGTATATTCCATCAAGTATCTCTTTGATAACGTAGGATTAAGAACTTCTTGAAACAAGTTCCTAGATTCCGCTCGCGGTTACGAGAATAACTTTATAATACTCACCAGAATCTTTTGCAAGGCATTAACGGATTGATTCTGAACTGGTATACCGTTGATCTCTCTAATCTCATCACCGACGTGAAGAGTGGCTTGTCTATGGATCATCCCACCGTGCATAATCCGCGCCACGAAGCATTGCCCATCCTCATTCATTTTCAATGTGATTCCCTGAAAAACAGATAATGTAAATTAAGAGTAGTAAATGCAATATTTTATCGATAATAACAGGTTAAACATTGCATTACGGTCGCGTATTTCAAACATGGCGAATGTCCGTATTAAACCGTGTGAATAATAAATAACAACGCCGTAAATTAAATATCAAAATTGTCATAATAACAAAGTTATTTTACGCACGTAAAAAAATTTAATATTTATTATTATCCAAAATATAATCCTGCAAATCTTTATTAAATGTTTTATTAAAAATTTAAAAGAATATTAAGATAATATTAAATTAACTATTTTATCAAATTTTCAATTGCTCAACATAATGTCTAAACAATATCTTTCACATATATATATGTATAACATACATATTTTTACGCTTTCATTAAAAAGTAATTTTTTTCACACATATTTTTAAAGAATTTATTTAAAATATATATATTTTTTTCTCTCTCGTTTTAAATAAAAATCCATAGGAAGCTTTTTGTACCAAATTTCAAAAACGTCGTTTCACATTGCCGAAACACATATGTATTTGCCTTGTTACTCACCATCGGCTCATCCGTATTTTTCTGGAACTGCACCAGTCTGACGCGAGTAATTTTTTCATCTAAATCGCCGTTTTGTCCTTCGAGATCGTCGCCGCCATTCAAATACGTGAGAAGTGGAGGTGGCGTTACCCTGGTGGCTTCCTCGCCGTAGACCTCGTGACCGGCAACGTCGTGAGCTTGTAGAAGTGCCTGGAACAAAAAGCAAAGCAAAATTGCAAATTAAACTCTTAACGTCTTTTTTCTTGCATATCACAAGACGAATGACTCGCCAATTGCTAAGAAAAGTTTTCCTATTTATTCTAAAACTATGTGACATAATAAGTTCTTATATTATTATAAATAGTAGCTGTATTACCATAACTAATAAGTATGCTCAGTTTCGGTCGTATGCAAATACGTTTTATTCGGGAGAGTTATGTATTCGTTAGTCGTATGTTTACCTTTACGATCTTGTTTTACAAATGCAATTGTATAAAAAGGAAACATGCAATCAAATTTTGATTGCTGATTGTCCTTTCTGCAGAATGTAGTGTCTAAACTATGTATAAATATTTAATCTTATTATCGATGAACAGACAGCAGACATCGTTTTTAAAATTTTAAATATTATTATATAAATGTATTACGTGCACGATATATTTATATGGCAAGAGAAAATAAACAATTAATCTATTAGATTGAATATATGCGTGATATATGTAGAAAATTGTTTTGGGAAAATAATTTAATAAGTATGATTTCGTAAAAATGTCCGATTAATTTTATTAATTACTCGGTAGAGTTATATGAAATAAAGTGTCTTAACATGACAAGAGTAGTATGTTTCGTATGGAAAACACATAACGCGTGTAAGTAGTGATATGCACGTTTCGACCGAACTGGAAAAGCGTAAAATATGCGTTATAATTTACATTTAAATTATCGGCTTTCATGTTAAAATTCAAATGCAAATTCTGAATTTAATGGCGGGATAACATACGCGATAAACATATTATAAATGATCATGTTCTATTTTACAACGTATAGCTTAATAAATGCACTTACATCGTGTTTATCATAGAACACATGTTTCGTTCTTATTGACGAATATTTTTATAACAAATAATTTGTTATATATATTCAAATAGAATTATTTATTTTAATGTGGAACGTTTACAAAAAAATTTTTATAAATAATCTTTTGTATGTATAAATATATTATGCGTTTCGTGGGTTTTCTCCGTGTTCAGATCCATTCTTGGAATGCTTTTTGTACGTATATTATGTTAAGAAAATATACAATATTTTATAATCTGACAACTTTTCCGAGTCGAAATTTTAATACTACTTCAACATTCTTAAGAATAATTCGCACTTACTAAAATACTTTATAAACTATAAAAAACCTACTTTGATGATATTATACTTATTAACTTCTTTTCTAAACCTCTATAGATTTATTTTAATGCTACACTGAAGCTACAATTGTTCCTCGAATTTCACTGATGCTTTGACACTTGAATCTCTACAGCTAATAAAAACTTACTTTGATGACATTATCCTTATTAAGTCTTCTTTGAAACCTTTCATTCTGCAGATTTAATTTTAATACCTTGAAGCTATTTATTTAACTTTTTAGGAAAAAGTATATTGGGAAATATACGCATCTGACATATACAAATACACGGAGAGAATTTTCTTTTAAAATTTACCCTGAGAAAATATGGTGATTGTGGTACAATACAATATTTTAAAGATTTTTACCATGCACTTCAGTAAAATTGATCAAACTTATTTTATACTTTATTGTAGTTTTATTAA